TCTCCCAATCGGCAGTAAAATCCTTGCCCAAGTGGGGTGTCCGATTGGATGTGTAGGATGTTCAAATACGCAGCCACGTCCGGCCAGAATGGGACGTGCACAGAGTGCCACGCTCACTGCACGTTAAGAACCCTTGCAACAGCTTGCAAGAGGTCTGTAGGTGGCCTGTTGCAAGGCAAAATTTCTGTTCATATCTCATTTACTCTTATTTCAGTGGCAGCCCAAATTTCCCGACTTTCATTCCAATTGTTAATTGTTTCCTGCCTTGAAATTACATGGAATATTTGCCACTGGACATTAAGCAACTAACAATCAATTATTAAACATGGTCGTTTATAAAAAGAATTATAAAGAAATTAAGGTTTCAACTCATTCAGGCAAAGTTGACCTTAGTGGATTTGGCTATTTTATAGGTCCTTTTCAGTCATATAGCTCTTCAAATGTTTCTGTTCTTATACATCTTTGGCTTTCAAATATTCGACTTTGAGCGTCCTGGATGAAAATCAATCCATAAAAGCGCTTCAGACGAATGAAATTCATACAGTGTAACATAACAAATAACATGTACCTCAAGTACAGAACAATTCAAAATACAACCACCCAAACTTAATGATCATTAATATATCTTACCAGCACAACTTTGGACAGGCTTTGTCTACTTAACATACAAATCAACTGTACCTCAAGTACAGACCAAATCAATCTAGATACAACCGAAACAAATAACAATAATGTCTTTTACCTTCAACTTTCAACAGGCTTTGTCTACTTGACGTATATATCAACTGTACCTCAAGTATAGACAAATTCAACCTAATTACAACCGAAACAAATAACATTTATGTCTTTACCTTCAACTTTCGACAGGCTTTGTCTACTAGAGATACACATCAACTGTATCTCAAGTACAGACCAATTCAATATAAACCACCCAAACCTAATGATCATTAATATATTTTACCAGCACAACTTTGGACAGGCTTTGTCATACAAATCAACTGTACCTCAAGTATAGACCACAAATAACAATAATGTCTTTTACCTTCAACTTTCGACAGGCTTTGTCTACTTGACGTATATATCAACTGTACCTCAAGTATAGACAAATTCAACCTAATTACAACCGAAACAAATAACATTTATGTCTTTACCTTCAACTTTCGACAGGCTTTGTCTACTAGAGATACACATCAACTGTATCTCAAGTACAGACCAATTCAATATAAACCACCCAAACCTAATGATCATTAATATATTTTACCAGCACAACTTTGGACAGGCTTTGTCATACAAATCAACTGTACCTCAAGTATAGACCACAAATAACAATAATGTCTTTTACCTTCAACTTTCGACAGGCTTTGTCTACTAGAGGTACACATCAACTGTACCTCAAGTACAGACCAATTGAATCTACAAACACCGATACCTAAAGAACAATAATGTGTTTTACCATTTTTTACTACATGTTAATTACATATAAATTTAACAGACAGACACTATCCCATTCAAAATATTCACCTATTTAAAATTATATTGCTATCTGGCATATAAACTGATATTTGAAGAAAAAAATGCACACTTAATTTTATTAAATATATACATAATTAAATTTTGTATAATGAATCAATTTTATACAACATAAATACACATTTATATACAATGTATTGTTTAAAGACAGAAATCACTGAAATTTGTAATTTAATTTGAATACAAGTAGATGAACAATATATCACATAAATGGAGAGGGTATAATAAGACCACTTTTGGCCAAATGAATTAGAATAATACAAAGTATTTTAAACCATTAAATAACGTCCTTCAGATATTTAAACATACAGAAATAAGAAGATGTGGTATTATTGCAAATGATCCAACAGGGACCAGATACAAAATGACATAGGTGTAAGCAGTTTGTCATCATAAAGCTTTCAACAATGAGCAAAACCCTTACTGCATAGCAAACTACAGGCCCAAGAACACAGTTATTTCTTAGTGCACTTCTTAGACAATAAATGGAAATTAAAAAAATCCAACCTGCACTTTCTCGATAATATTTTTACAGTGTGGTGTACTACTTTTGGGACAAATTATATCAATATTATAGAAAACTTCTTCAGCTCTAACTCAAAATATGGATAATTTTATGTTAAGGGGGTCTTGAATTCTTTTGACAGCTTCCGAAAATACTAATTTTTAACCTTTTTTAGCTGGACCAAAATCACTACTTTACTTTAAAATTATGACCCAAACTTTTTTTACAGTGTAGTTTCATCCCCCTACTTAATATTTCAGGCATAAAACATGAAGAAATAAATTTGGAAAGTGCATAAAAATAATGGAAAGTAACACACTGTCCACACTAGGGACTATATTTGTAGACACCAAAATCAAGGGACGATAACTGTGTTCCCGGACCTATAACAGTACACACGCTGAAGTGTCTTGCCTTCTTTACTGACCATTGATTTTATGTTGAAAGTCTAAAAAGATAAAGGTTTTACTACAATAGTATCACATAAACTTCACATTTTTCAAGATCTATGACAATGAGGTCAAGGTTAGATAAATCCTGTCAGACAGACATGTTCACCGTGCAATTATTCCATACACCAAATATTGTTGACATGTTGCTTAATATGGTAATTTGAACAGATCAAAATACAAAAACTTAACATTACTGTGTGTTTGTTTATTCTACATTGGATAGAGGTCCAGGGGGAGGGTTGACATCTCACAAAACATGTTTAACCCCGCCGCATTTTTGCGCCTGTCCCAAGTCAGGAGCATCTGGCCTTTGTTAGTCTTGTATGTTTTTTAATTTAAGTTCATTTATATGTTTTGGAGTTTAGTGTGACGTCCATTTTCATTGAACTAGTACACATTTTGCTTAGGGGCCAGCTGAAGCCCGCCTCCGGGTGCGGGATTTTCTCGCGGAGTTGAAGACCCATTGGTGGCCGTCATCTGTTTTCTGCTGTTTGCTCGGGTTGTTGTCTCTTTGACACATTCCCCATTTCCATTCTCAATTTTATTGACCAAATGAACCATAAAAAATGAGGTCAAGGTCCGATGATACCAGCTAAAATGACCTGTGCACCTTACAATCATTCCATACACCAAATATAGTTGACATATTGCTTAAATTACTTCAAAACAGACCAAAACACTTGACATTGACCAATGAACCAAGAAAATAAGGTCAAGGTCAGGTGAAAGCTGCCAGACTGACATGTACCCTTAAAATCATTCCATGCACCACATATACTTGACCTAATCATGTAACTTTAACCTTGATCACTGATCCATGAAATGAAATCAAGGTCAGGTGAACCCTGTCTGACAAACATGTAGACCTTGCAAGGAACCCATACAACAAATATAGTTATCCTAGTACTCATATAATGAGTGAGAAATTCAATAACAAATAAATGAGGAATGTGTCCATGGGACACAGATGATGCCCCCGCTTGCATATAACGTTATAAAGGGACACAACTCAAGAAGGGTAAAAGTGACGCTGCCCAAATTTGTACTTGATCTGAGTTTTGTGGTAAAAAAAAAGTTTTATTTTTATTCAACCAATTGTCAAGGACAATGAACATATGACAGACAGAAACTTCTTAACATATGGAATCTTCATACAAGGTATGATGTATCCAGGTCTTCTACCTTCAGATATAAAAAGCTTTATACAAATAGTTTACGACGCAGTTGCATTGTTATCCCTATGTCTTGCATGCTGTGACTTTTGTTGCAGGCGAGACAAAAAAGTAACTGACATGATAAAACATAACAAAAATTCAAACAAGACAACGAACAGCCTAACTCATGTGTAAAACAACAGAAAAAACAAAAATTGATATACAGTAACAAACAATAACCACTGAAGTACAGGCTAATGACTTTGGACAAGCACATACAAAAATAAATAATATGTACATAACATGAACTGATAAATTTAATATTTTTATGCAATATTAGTGCCCTTAAATGGATTTTATCATATTATGTCTTAGTAAAAACTCATCATAGATACAGATAAAACTCATCCTGAAACATGCACATCAATAATCTAACTTGTTCATACTTTTTAAATCATAACAAAATATCTTCCAAATATAATGAATAACTTTATAATTTACAAAATACTTACAAAACAATTATAGGCCAAGCAGTGTGTATTCTAAATCAACAGAAAAAACATATACAAATTATCTGCTATTGACAATAATTTACCCGTAGCCTTTCTTAAAATTATGTATTGTAATGATTAACACATCCATTTGTACATGTTTACTATCAAAACATGTGCATAATCTGGATAACAAATATGTATTTAATAAATAAATGTGTATATGAACCTTCTAGAATAATAAAAATCTACTAATAAGGTTAAGGTAAAATGCTTTTAAAATCAACAAAAATTATTTAATATGGTCAAAATGCAATAACATAACATTAAGGGTTCCATTTTTACTGCACCAGATATGCATTAACTAATGTCTCTTTAGTGATGCAATCTAATCTAACAAAAAATGTGTTCAAAACAAAACACAAGTAGTTGCAATTTGTTCACCAAATAAAAACAGAATATTTTGAAACTTTTAAAACAACACCAATTTTATCTCTAACCAATTTAATATGCAAAATAATTAAGTGTTGCATTAAGATTTATGGTGTATTGATATGCACAACGTACTCCTACAGACAAGATTCTTCCTTATTTCACATATAAAATAAAATAGGAGGCACAAATTGCAATTCAGATTATATCAAAATTTAGTTAAAGCCTAAATGACTTACTGGTAAACATTAGCAGATATACAACTGTTTTATAAAAAGCAAAGTAAGAGAAAAACTTGATTTAAGCTCAACAGAACTGTCAAATCTTAGTCAAAACCCTAATTAAGCAAATTTTTTAAACAGTTTTCAAGATTAAGGCAAAAGACACAAGAAATTGGTAAAAATTGTCAATTATGGGCAACTGAAAATTTGGGGGGGGGGGGGGGGAGGGGGGTGGATGGAGGAGGGATGGAAAGAAGATAAATCTTGTTATTCTAGACATTTTTGCCCTGCTTTTATTTTCAAGAAATTAGACAATTACTTACAATTTATTCGAAACCTGATTAAAAGGAAGGATAGGTGCAAATACTTTGTCAAAAAGGCTGTATGTACAACTGATGAACTTAAAAAATTTATATAAGTTGATGTGAAACAATTAAAAAATTAATTAATGCTAAAATCAAGTGAATTTCAGCTTACATTAATTTCTTTTGTGAAGACCATTTACAATTACAATTTCATATGAAAGCTAATTTCATATCAGATTTAAATAACTCAAATTGGTAAAACATGGTGGATAAATAAATAAATATTTACATATATAAACAAATACTGTTTAGGGAGCAAGATAAAATTCATACATGTCTGATGTTGCTCTTTTTCCTGTCAAAAATAATACAAAAATTCATCAAAATATCAAAATCAACATAAAAAAAATTAGGGTTAGTCAGGAAACCCTAAGCCTTAAACAACAAATATATTTATTGCCCTAAGCTATAAGCTTTATTTCAACAAAGGTTTTAATAAATAATAGCTGAAAGTATGATTTTAGTTTACTCACAAAAGGACACCTTACTCTAAGAATGGTTTTACTGCTAGATGGGAAAAGTCAATGGATTGCAATATTTCTATACCCAAGTCAACCCTAAATGTTATCAATCACTCTATATATGTGCATTGATGAACATAGAAGCAGGTTAAAAGCAACAAATTAATACGAATCATATCTTGCAAATATGGTATTTGAAAATATCAATTGAAACTGGCCCTGTTTATAGAAACTGAGCTACTTATACAAAAATATAAAAGCAATCAAAACAAACTTAAAATATGGTAGATACTGCTTAGTCTACATTCTCTATCTGCTGTTCTTTTCTGCTGATGCAACATGGAGAAAACTGAACAAATCCAAGTGTAAGTAATGGTGTTATTAATTCTTTTCTATCTGCAGCCTTTAAGTAATTATATGGTCTGCTATAGTACACAACAGGACTGTTAACACACTGGTTCCCGGTCATTATTTCTTCAAACTGTACAGTGTTACATTGGAAATAGGAAAATGTTACCTGCATAAAAAAAAATCAAAATGAATGGCAACTTCAATTTACAAATCTGAAATAAATCATAAACATCTTAACTGAACAAAATTGCAGATACCTCAATTTGTTCATGCTTCATATTATACAGTAGTTTAAGTTAAAAATAAAAGTAAATTAGATAATCAAACTTAACCAAAAAAGTTTTTGAAACAAAAGAAATTACTAAATAGATTCATCTAAAAAAAGTTTCTCCTTGTTATGCAAACCTTGATCCTAAATTTAATTGTTGATTGATGCTTTAGGGGAATTTTCAAATAGAGGTATATCATTTTTCGAGACAAAAATTGGTGTCATTCTCATTGGAAAAAATACATTTCCTGTATTTAAATATACATGTTCAAAAAAATTGTACGGTTAAATAATAATATAATTGGGAATAAACAAATACATTTCTTCCAGAAAATGCTCTAGTTAGAGTTAAGTCATTTTGCTAACTGTTTAACGCAAATTATACCGGTAATTGTAATTTCAATAAATGACTTCATGCAGATTTTATTTTTCCTCTTTTCTTTGAAAAAACAGACGTCTTATAAATCCTTAAATATTCACCTTTGACACATAATAAACAGAATGATTTCATATAGTGTAGATCAAACGTAATTATAGGTAAATTACTGTAAACCAACTAATTGTTGCGAGGGATCTATTTTCCCGGATAGAAAAATAACGCGAATATAAATCGTTAGAAAACTTGTAAAACTTTGATCTTATCTTATTTTAATACATGAAGTAAATTTGAAAATCGCGAAATTTAAACAGCCGCAAAGTGGTCTAAAAAGTTTACTTAAGTGTTGTTGTCATTTTAGTGGTATTTAATTTTTGACAACCCTTCATACCATCTGGTATCAACTCAAGGGAACTCTACCAGCACAAAACATAGGAGGCATTGGTTCAGCAGCTCTTTATTTATTTTCGATATTCTGAACCCCTGCATTCCTGGATCCGCTAATACCACACAGCGCCGACCCCAAGGCCATCTCTACACTGAGCAAGAACGAAGAATTCCAAGAAGCCAAAAATCAACTGATACCATCAATTACTGCCGAAAAACCACCAAACAAAAGGAAAATTGTATGAAGAACAAACAGAGGATAAAATTGAGAATGGAAATGGGGAATGTGTCAAAGAGACAACAACCCGAGCAAATAGCAAAAAACAGCCAAAGGCAACCAATGACATTGGTTACGTTTTGTCATCTTACACATATATTGACTTTGGTTACCTCTGGTCATCTTACACAGATATTGACGATGGTAACATCTGGTCACCTTACGTCAATATTGATTTTGGTTACCTCTGGTCACCTTGCACATATATTAAATATGGTTACCTTTTAACTTCATAGTACTATTTTACTACACCATGAAAACCAATTATACCATGCATTTTTCGATATATAAAATTGAGAATGGAAATGGGGAATGTGTCAAAGAGACAACAACCCGAGCAAATAGCAAAAAACAGCCAAAGGCCACCAATGGGTTTTCAACTCAGCGAGAAAATCCCGCACCAAGAGAAGGGCTTCAGCTGGCCCCTTAACAAAAATGTGTACTAGTTCAGTGAAAATGGACGTCATACTAAACTCAAAAACATATAATTGAACTAAAATTAAAAATCATACAAGACTAACAAAGGCCAGAGGATCCTGACTTGGGACAGGCACAAAAATGCGGTGGGGTTAAACATGTTTTATGAGATAACATACTTACAACAGGGCTGCAAATAAATCAAGATGTATATGTACCATCGTTCCGTGCCATCAGAAAATTGAATGTAAAATTGTTTACGTGTGAAACCATACAAAGGATCTTTCAGGAGCAAATGGAGATGACACAAAAAAGCCAAGATAGATTTCCAGGAGTATTTAGAACCTACCGAAATTGAACTTTAAAGAATTAAGATGCAAACAACATAAATCCATCCCAACATGATTTCCAGTTAAACCTACATTGCAAGAAATTTTGCAACGGTGAACTACTTAACGGCATTCCAGACATGATTGGAAGTAGTACCTCTGGCCACTTACTATCAGAACAGTTTACAACATTTTTTTTAAGATAAAGAAGATTACAACAATAATAGATTAACTCTGAATTTAGTAACTTAATTTGCATTGTACTATTTTTGATTCATTTTCTGTTCAACATTACATAATTACATATATAGTATCCTATAGCAACGTCAACAATAGACAATTATGACATCACATACTAGATACCATTTTTTTGTACTTCAGGGGTTCTAATTTTTTATACTTTGTCCTGAAGACGCCGATCTAATTGGTGAAACATGTCGACCAATAAAAGATGCAGTTTTCTTAAGTGTTGCTATTCTGTACATGTACAAAATGTCAAACAACTAACATGCTATTCAGGTCAAGAATTGCATGTACAGTTGTGTAATGAATTGTGTAAGAAAATGTCTGTTCAATGAAGCAATACAAGGGTATGGTATTAGCTGTGGTCAATTGAGACTAAAATTGAACTGTGCAGGATGTATAAATTCATGGAAGTTTAGTCATGTTTAGTCAAAATGGGGACATTAAATCTGATGACTCATGGAAAGATGTTTCTGCTCTCTTTGCGTTTTAAGAACCCTTGCTACAACTTTTTGGGGGTCTACAGGTGGCCTGTTGCAAGGCAAAATTTCTGTCCCTATCCAATTTACCCTAGATTTCCAGAGGCATTTAAAATCCCTCACCCAAATTCATTCTGGTCAACCCCCTATTACAGGACCTACTGATTGTATTAATTGTAAATTTGTCTTGTCCTCAACATGCATGAAATATTTGGCACTGGATGTAAAGCAATCAACAATCAATCAATCAAGCTTTGTCATTAGATAATAAACAAGCATTCTGTGAGTATTGCATGGCAATACATAGTCCCCTACCGGTTACAAATTCATTGCATTGGAACAAAATTCTAACTTGATCTATAACTTGTCATGGTGTAAACTATATAACAAATATCAAGTCAATATCTTCAAGCAGGATGAAAAAAAGTGTTGAAAACTGATTATTTAAGTGAATTTTCTAAGTCCAAGGACCAAAACTCTGCACAAAATCATCAGACCGGAACAAAATTCAAACTTGATCTGTTACTTGTTTTGATAAAACAATACGTCAAATATCAAGTCAATATCTTCAAGCATGCCGGAAAAAAGTGCGGAAAACTGATTATTTGAGTGAATTTTCTAAGTCCAAGGACCATAACTCTGCACAAAATCATCAGACGGGAACAAAATTCAAACTTGAACTGTAACTTGTCATGATAAAACTACATACCAGTTATCAAATCAATATCTTCAAGAATGACAAAAAAAAGTGTGAAAAACTGATTATTTTAGTGAATTTTCTGAGTCAAAGGACCATAACTCTGCACAAAATCATCAGACCGGAACAAAATTCCAAATTGATCTGTTACTTGTCATGATTAAACAATACACCAAATATTAAATCAATATCTTCAAGCATGAAGAAATAAATTGCTTTGCCGAGCACAGCTGGATACGACCGCAGAGGTCCAACCCTGAACAGTTGGGGCAAAAATTGACACAATATTCGCTCTTAATACAGGTCTGAATTTGGATTGTAATTAAATATTTGACAAATCTTTTGCGGTCGTATAAAAAGGTGTGGAACACTGATTTGCTGGACTGACGGATTGACAGACAGACAAGCAGACAGAAAGACAGACAGACGGACGGAGTGCACACCTAAAGTCCCCTTCGACTTCGTCGGTAGGGGACTAATAAAAGATCAATGCTTACATGTGTCTTCTGTACAATGATACCTAATAGACCATTCTTCTGTGATAAAGGGTAATGCAATAATAGCTCTCCTCCATGCTGACCCTGTAATCTATCATCAAGGTGCCATATAACTTGCTCTTTACCTATTACTTTCTTTTTCCCTGACCTTGTACTATACTGTAAGGAAATAACCAAGTCTTCCTTTGCTTTAAATTCTTTCTTAACCTAGAAAAACAATCAAATAAAAAGGTTGTTTTAAGATTGTGTTCCTCAGCTGTGATCCCTTACCTCTTACACATGAAGCATACAGCAAGAAAAATTTCAATATTCAGTCTTCATGATATATTTTGTAGCTACAGACCAGATGCTGCTTTTTCAAAAAATTTGCATAGATTATAATGGCCTGTTGAAGAGGTTCTTCAAGCATGGGCTAGTTGTGAAGAGAATACTTGAAGAAAATGTTCTACATGTTATAAATTGTAATCAATCTAGAATGCCCAAGTAAACAAGTGTAGCGTCACAAAGACTTTACACTATAATACATGAAATATGTTACGTTCCCGCTGTATTTACAACAAGCTGGTTTGTGTCTAACCCCATATCCATAGGGGGTCACCACGTGACGGCGTCAAACCAATCACAATGTCATAATTTACCCGCGGTGCAATAAATATTTATTACATGGATTTAAATTTATGTTCTCTGGTGAGGACAATTTCAAATTTCAAACTTTAGTCATGTTTTGGTTAAGAACTGTCATATTACTATATCAATTCATTAAACTACTCTTACAAATAGTTGAATGGGTCATTATGCTAAGCATACTCGCAATGTAAAGTAGTGGAAACAGAAAGAAGGTTTTTGAGAGATCCAAAGGTGCTCACATATAACAATTAGTCACTTTCAAGCTGCTGACCAAATTTGAAGTCATTCTGCTCAGCAGTTCATGAGACATGGCTAACAATAATATTTATTTTTGATGAATGAGTGACAGGAAGGACAAAGTAAGTGCAAGATAGTCCCCATTCCTAGTGCGGGTGTGAGTTCCCAAATGAATAGTTACATATATTTCATGTAACGTTATGTAAGTTTATGTGCTACAATCGTTTTCAGATCACACAAAAATAAATACTATGCACTAAGGTAAGGAAAAATGCAGTTCTTTTAATAAAAGGTGCAAGGGGAAAAATAACCCTACGTAAATCATTCAAGAAATAAAAGAAGAATGTGTCCATGGTTAACAGTTGCCCCCAATTGTAAATTAACGGCAAATTTAGCATTTTCTTCCATTCATAAAAGGACATAACTCAAGAAAGGTGAAAGAGACGCTACCCAAATTCAAACTTGATCTGTGTTTGATGGCATTGTGTGTAACTTTGAAAACATTTGTTCAGGCAAATTAAAGTTGGAGGGAGGAAACAGCAAATTCAGCAATTTACCCGTTTTTAAAGCTTAAGGGAGAACTTGAGAACAGTAAAGTGACGGCACCCTAATTTGATCTTGATCTGTGTTTGAGGGAAACAGCAAATTCAGCCATTTTCAAGCATATTGCAATGAGTTCCATTGCAGTTCTATAGTTAACATATACCTCACAAACTGCTAATATCTTTAAATTAGAATGATGTATGTCTGAATTGGTAATATCTGGAAAGACAATATCAGGTATAGATGAAACAGCTTTATCTCCTATATCAACCTGTGCTTTACCAATAACAGGAACACTCCTATAAAATATTAAAATTTCTTTACACATCAAAAAGATGGTATAAAAAATCAGATATTACATGTGTATCAGGATTCTTTCAAAATCTTAAAATATTTAAAATCGAGATTTGATCTTTGAACTGTGTCCCTACTCACATAATGCAGTTCCTTCAATTTATAAATAAAATTTTTTTTTTTTTTTTATTTCTTTTTCATGCAGAGCTAGGTCACAGATTTACAGGTACATGAACATGCATTGGTGTTTTTCTGACAATCCATTTTAAGGAGTTAGTATCTTCCAAAGTCATCAGTAAGCAGTTTCTAATCTAGTGAAATAAAAAATTCGTAAGGGTTCCGCGGAACCCAGTGTCTCGCCTACTTTTGGTGTTAATCGCAGGCTCAACAAAAATGAGGAAAAAAATTAATAAAAATATTCCTCTCTATACTATCTTTTGATTGTAAGAAGCTTCTGTCCAAGTTTGGTAAAAATCCAGGATAATTTATGAATCTAATAAATGTTTTAAAAACTTAAACTGCAGAATGTATGTACTGTTGACTGGAAGAAAAACTAAGTCCATTTATAAGTAAAATACAGAAAAAATGGAACAAAATTTTATCAAAATTTTCTTCTAGATACTAGCTTTTGATCATAAACAAGCTTCTGTCCAAATGTGGTACAAATCCAGGATAGTTTAAGAAAGTTGTTAAAATTTTAAAAACTTTAACCACAGAGTGAATGTAATGTTAACTGGCAGAAAAACTAAGTCCATTTATAAGTAAAATACGGAAAAAATTGAATTTTTTTTTTACAAAATTTACTTTGGATACTATCTTATGATCATAAACAAGCTTCTTTCCAAGTTTGGTAGAAATCCAGGATAGTTTAAGAAAGTTATTAAAATTTCAAAAACTTTAACCACAGAGTGAATGTAATGTTTCCTGGCAGAAAAACTAAGTCCACTTATAAGTAAAATACGGAAAAAATGGAATTTTTTTTTTACAAAATTTACTTCTGAATATAATCTTATGATCATAAACAAGCTTCTGTCCAAGTTTGGTAGAAATCCAGGATAGTTTAAGAAAGTTATTAAAATTTCAAAAACTTTAACCACAGAGTGAATATTTGTGGACGCCGCCGCCGACGACGACGACGACGACGCCGACGGAATGTAGGATCGCTATGTCTCGCTTTTTCGACAAAAGTCGAAGGCTCGACAAAAACACTATCATGGTACATTTTTTTTCATATTCCTTATTCATCAAAACCTCAAAATTTTACAGCAGCAAATAAAACGTAGTATTTCGGAATGCATGTACCAGTATCACACTGCTTAACTGATCCTTATCATTTTGTTTGAGGTCTGACTCTGTGGGATATGATCATGCACCACTGCTGTCATATAGCACAAGGAAGGAATTTCTGCATTTGTCTTTCTACTTCCTCACTTCTTGAATGAAATGGGCTGTTAATTGGTTCAATTTTATAAATATTATTGAAATAACTCAACAAAATTAATTATAAGGAACATTTCCCCATGTTTATACCTTATATTTTAGGTTTGAACAGATTGTTTTTTTACTTCCCTTTTGCAGTCCTCGATGGGATTTGAATGTTACAGGCAATAAAACTGATAATACTAAAGACAAGAGTACACACCCTGAAATGTCTCGCCTGCTTTACTGACCACTGATTTTATGTTAAAATTCTTAAAGATAAAGGTTGTATCACATGAGGTCAATGTTAGATAAGTCCTGTCAGACAGACATGTACACCTAACAATTATTTCATACACCAAATATAGTTGACCTATAGCTATTGCTTATGGTAATTGAAAAACAGACCAAAACACCATGGATTTTTCTAGCATTCCACAGGGTCCGGTTTTCGACCCATTCCCAATGGCAATTATCCTACATTTTTCCCAATTTTGGGAGTAAAATTCCCAAACGATCGCAAAATTTATTTTCATCTTTATTATTCATGATAGCAATGTTCATTTTGTTCAACCGCTAGCTTCATGCCAAAAATTGCCAACAAGTAATGAGTAAATCCGAGTAAAATGGTATCTGACTGACAAATACAACACCGAATAAAATGGTTTGCTGGGGCGCAGCTTGATACGACCGCAGAGGTCGAACCCTGAACAGTTGGGGCAAGTATGTACACAACATTCAAGCTTGATACAGCTCTGAATTTGGATTGTTATTAAATATTTGACACAGCATAGGTTTCTGACACAGAAAGAATGTGGTCTAAGAACTTGAATTTTTTTAATTTACCTATTATGGTCCAATGTCCAAAATCAAAATACATGGTTAGATTCAGCATATCAAAGAACCCCATATATTCAATTTTTGTTAAAATCAAACAAAGTTTAATTTTGGACCCCAATTTGGACCAACTTGAAAACTGGGCCCATAATCAAAAATCTAAATACATGTTTAGATTCAGCATATCAAAGAACCCCATATATTCAATTTTTGTTTAAATCAAACAAAGTTTTAATACTGGTCCCTATCTTAGACCAACTTGAAAACTGGGCCCATAATCAAAAATCTAAACACATGTTTAGATTCAGCATATCAAAGAACCCCAAGAATTCAATTTTTGTTAAAATCAAACTAAGTTTAATTTTGGACCCTTTGGACCTTAATGTAGACCAATTTAAAAAACAGGACCCAAAATTAAAAATCTAAATACACGGTTAGATTTGGAATATCAAAGAACCCCAATAATTCAATTTTAGATGAAATCAAACAAAGTTTAATTTTGGACCCTTTTGACCTCAATATGAACCAATTTGATAACGGGGTCCACAAATAAAAAATCTAAATACATGGTTAGATTCAGCATATCAAAGAACCCCATATATTCAATTTTTGTTGAAATCAAACAAAGTTTAATTTTGGACCCCAATTTGGACCAACTTTCATTGAAAACTGGGCCAAAAATCAAAAATCTAAATACATGTTTAGATTCAGCATATCAAAGAACCTCATATATTCAATTTTTGCTAAAATCAAACAAAGTTTAATTTTGGACCCTTTGGACCTTAATGTAGACCAATTTGAAAACTGGACCCAAAATTTAAAATCTAAATACACTGTTAGATTCAGCATAACAAATAAATAAATGTGATCAGAGATTTTACAAATCTAATGCGCCATACTGTGCAATTAAAGATTACTTCTTGAAATTTTTCATTATTTGAAATTTGAAAAAAAAAAAAATATTTGAAGAATAATTCTTTTTAATTTTTGAAATCTGAAATGAGAAAAAATTGACCCCCCACAATTTCTTTTTATCCCCCCCCCCCTTTTTTCCCCCAAAAAATTCTTTCCCTCAAGATATGTTCATAATCTCAATTCAAATTTCCAATGGAGTTGGCAACCATAATTACCCATTTAAATTTACCATAGTGCTAACTTAATCTATTTTATAATAGAATTAATAAAATGCTCCGCAGGGCGCAGCTTGATACGACCGCAGAGGTCAAACCCTGAACAGTTGGGGCAAGTATGGACACAACATTCAAGCTTGATACAGCTTTGCATTTGGATTGTGATTAAATATTTGACACAGCATAGGTTTCTACACAGAATGAATGTGGTCTAAGAACTTAAAAATTTTAAATTGGACATTCACCTATTATGGTCCAATATCCAAAATCTAAATACATGGTTAGATTCAGCATATCAAAGAACCCCAAGAATTCAATTTTTGTTGAAATCAAACAAAGTTTAATTTTGGACCTTTTTGACCTCAATGTGGACAAAGTTGATAACGGGGCCCAAAAATCAAAAATCTAAATACATGGTTAGATTCAGCATATCAAAGAACCCCATATATTCAATTTTTGTTGAAATCAAACAAAGTTTAATTTTGGACCCCAATTTGGACCAACTTGAAAACTGGGCCCATAATCAAAAATCTAAATACATGTTTAGATTCAGCATATCAAAGAACCCCAAGAATTCAATTTTTGTTAAAATCAAACTAAGTTTAATTTTGGACCCTTTGGACCTTAATGTAGACCAATTTGAAAACGGAACCAAAAATTAAGAATCTAAATACACGGTTTGATTCGGCATATCAAAGAACCCCAATAATTCAATTTTTGATGAAATCAAACAAAGTTTAATTTTGGACCTTTGGACCTCAATGTGGACCAATTTAAAAACGGGGCCCAAAATCCAAAAACTTAATGCACGGTATGATTCAGCATATTAAAAAACCCCAAGAATTCAAGAATAAAACCCCATTGAAATTGGTCAAGAAATAAGCAATTTATATGAAGTATCTTCTTTTGCACAATACTGTGCAATTAAATATTTCTTGCTATTGCGCAATACTGTACAATTGACAATTTCTTGCTATTGCGCAATATTGTGCTATTGGATATTTCTTGCTATTGCGCAATACTGTGCAATTGAAGATTTCTTGCTATTGCGCAATACTGTGCAATTGAAGATTTCTTGCTATTGTGCAATACTGTGCAATTGAAAATTTCTTGCTATTGCACAATACTTATTATATAATAATTTACACATCCTGTTTGGTGTGTATCTCCTACCATATCATTATTATAAGACATAATTGAGAATATTGTCCCCCCTTTTTTCTTCAAATTAGAAAAGGGACATTTTTGGTACAAACCAAACTTCTGTGGTACAATATAGATTATTAAGAGCAATTTATATATCCCTCAGCTGGATAACATGCAAAACTGGTTCAAAATTGCATGTACAGTGAGATTTTGGAATTCTTATAGGAGTATATATACTAATTGCCTAGATTGTAAATTAAAGGCTACCATAAGAAAACCAATAAAACTTGAGAAATCATTGGATTATTCGACCAAGAGCTATTTTTTTACAATAAACAAGTCATAATATACATGTTTTATTGATTTAAATCCCAAATAATGCAAAAATAAGAACTTGGGGTGACAAGTCTTAACTGCATGCATGTTGTATGACCATAAAAGGCTAAAATACCTTATTGTGTCAATTTAAGAGCTGAAATTTGGCATAAACAGAATTGTTCATCCACAAAAGTTGATTAAACATGATTACTGACATCAAATATGACCAATTTTCATTGGAATAGGTAAAACTTCTAAAAATTGAATTTCTGATGATTCTCTGTAATAGGAACTACACCACTAATTCATGGCCCCATTGCTTGCTATGTTAAATTCCTCAATTTCAAGCAGACACAGCTCTTTTGTTTTAAGTTCAAATAAAGTGACAATCATTGCATGTCAAAGCAACACTTTATGGTGTCTTAATGTACTGAAAAAATCAGCATACCTTTAATGGCATATAAGAAAGAACTGGTTCCCAAAACCTCGGATGTACCAAAATAGGTACTTCAGATCTGACAAACAGGCAAAATGTACCCTCTTTTTTAAATTTCATGCAATTTTTTTTATTATTAAAAATTGTAAGTCAAAAAGTGTTTTACAATGATCACCAGTCATTCAGCTTTCATTTGATATCAAAATTGCCTAAATATTCTACATATTTTGAAAGTTACACCCATGCGTAGGAACTATTTTTGTGTTAAATATGTACTACTTTCTGGTATGTGCTTTGCGGCCGGGCCCGAATTAGTGGTGTTACACCTATAACAGAACCAAACTTGCTATATTGACTTCAGCATTTCTTAATTTCATTCTATGATCTATTCTAAGCAATAAAAAACATATAAAGCTTTAGTCCAAACACTATTTTACTGATTTTAAGCTCAAATTGGACTGGTAGTAACATATGTGTTATGCAAAAAAAACTGCATATAGGGATATTACCAATGGCCAGTTTGATTTTTCTATTCTCAATATCGTGGTTCTATTTGTTAATTTATACTACCAAAACAATGTGCTTACCAATAGTCATATTTTTGTCAGAGAATGTTCATTTAATAAAAATATATTAGTCCAAACCTAAGACATAATTGAGAATATTGTCCCCCCCCCCCCCTTTTTTCTGCAAATTAGAAAAGGGACATTTTTGGTATAAACCAAACTTCTGTGGTACAATATAGATTATTAAGAGCAATTTATATATCCCTCAGCTGGATAACTTGCAAAACTGGTTCAAAATTGCATGTACAGTGAGATTTTGGAATTCTTATATGAGTATATACTAATTGCCTAGATTGTAAATTAAAGGCTACCATAAGAAAACCAATAAAACTTGAAAAATCGTTGGATTATTTGACCAAGAGCTATTTTTTTACAATAAACAAGTCATAATATACATGTTTTATTGATTTAAATCCCAAATAATGCAAAAATAAGAACTTGGGGTGACAAGTCTTAACTGCATGCATGTTGTATGACCATAAAAGGCTAAAATACCTTATTGTGTCAA